GCCAGTAAAGCCAATCGACAGCTGGTCAAGAGAAATCCCCCGTCGTCTTCTGTTAGAACCGACCTTCGAATCTCTTAACCCAACACTTCCGCTCAGAATGGAAATGAGCAAAGCTTATGCCATCAGAAGCTTACTATCAACAAAAAACAACCTTAATAAAATAGAGCCGCACGGTTGCTTTCAGCCAGCCATTTGTGAGTAGTCAAGTAGCCTTCTTTACTGAGGGCTAACCTAAGTGAACGAGCATGGGCACAACCAAAATTATTAAATTTTAAGTTAGTGAAAGAAGTGTAGAGGGTTAAACGTTTAAAGCATAATACTTGCCTTGATAAGTTCTACGAATTTTTCTGCATTTCTTGTAAAATTTTCTTCTCTGAATAAAAGATGCAAAAAATGCGACGGGTTATTTTAAAAGGTTAACACAAAATAACAATTATTATCAAATTCTAGAGGATATAAATAGAAATATACATGAATTTTGCCAAAAAGCCGTGGTATTTAAATAAAAAAAATTTTGTCTAAATTATGCATACATAAAAGAAACTACATAATTTCTCTAAATTTTTGAAGCATTTGATAAATAAAAATAAATATATGAGGAAATAAACACAAAATATGAGGTATGAAGACCAGGATTGTGTTGTCTTTTGTATGGTCACAGTCTCCTTTCGTTATATAAAAGCTGTTTGACCCTTTTTTCGCAACTTGGTCATATTTGCAGGAAGACCTAGAGAGACGCAAGTAGTCCAGAGTCCATAGTATGCATGATAAATTCCAGAGTAGGGCCATGGACGTGGTACATTCCCAGACGTTTTGCCGTCATCGTAGTCGGCATCGTCAGTGAGCTTTGCCAATCTTACCAGCACACTACAGACAAGTGACCGATTGTCTGCTAAACAATTGTGCTATCTCTCCTTCTGTCCTGTGCTATTCGTCGATCCTATATCCTCCTATCACCCCTTCACTATCACAATCCCTTAATTGTTTATTTAAATCTGGCATGGTGCGCCCTTTTTAGCAGATGTCATGACAACTCTCCCCATCCCACGCTGGCTTTCTCACCCCCTCACCCCACAATCCTCTTCCCATAGGTCTTATCAGAGTCTTATTCTTGCAATCTAGGATCCGCCTCCTACCCTCCTTCACTCGATGCCTGCAACCCCTTCTGTACTACGCGAAGAGTGATTTCTCACATTTCCTCAAGACTTTAATGGCACGCCTACTGGCGCATCGCTGAATAGGCCCTAAAAATCAGCATTCTCAAGCTGGATGCGAGACTAAGCTGAGGCTAGAGAGCCCGAGTAATTCTCATGGTCGAGCTTTTGCTTCATGGACCACGTCTACGGTTAGCCAACTAGCTTTAATCTCCACCGCATCTATCCTGTTTCTATTCCTAATACCAAGTCTCTGACGTCTTATGCCCCAGTCTCTTGTGTGTCAATCCACAAATGTTGTGCTTCTACATTGAACCTAATCAAAACAAGGGGTTGTCGTCAAATCTTGATGACCGAGAGGAGACGCTACTTTTTGTGTTGTAATTAATCTGCCCCATCACTGCTGGTTTCGTGCGTACGCGAACATATGCGGGCACCTACGCATACACAGACAGACACACTCACATGCTTCGAGGTATACAGATGAATTGAACTGGCCATCTCAATTTATACCATCATCAAAGAGCTTAGATTTAGGGTATTTATATACAGCGTCTAGCGGTGAACCGGTGACTGGTTAGTTTGAATTTGGTTGTGGCGATGATACCTTTCTCTGATGATGTTCGTCATATGACGGACGAAAGCTTATCACCTTTTCACCGTAATGAGAGGAGATTACCCCGGAAACACTGTCAACAGGAATGTTGCAGTAAGACCAATCGACAGCTGGCCAAAAGGAATCCGCCATCGTCTTCTGATGGGATCGACCTTCAAATCTCTTCACCACTAACATTCACCCAAAATGGACGTGAACTGAACAATTATAATACAAGATACTCTACAGAACCAAACTTTTCTTTGTAGTCTTATGTCGATAAGGAGCTTATTCTCTATCACGCTCTAATTAAGTCTTAGTTTACTCTCTTCTATTCTCATTCTCTCTCTCTCTCTCTCACAGACACACTGACAAAAAGTCCAGCTCAACCTAACGTATCGACGAGATTATACACAATCGGAACGAGGAGTGGTGGTCAGATGTTACGCATGCTTCCAATTGCTTTGAACTCATGGCTGGTTTTGTGGGTAAAAGTGCACATGTAGGTACATAAGTACACACAAACAGATACAGACGCACACACATACACACTTCTAAATGGCTTTAGCTAACAAAACCACGTTACACCTTACCAAAATGCATGGTTTTAGGGTATAGAGACAACATGCATGGATGAGTCAGTGAGTTCACTTGACTCGTTAGCCTGGTCCGAGGTTGTCGAGAGGAGTCAGACGGCACATTCTGATCGGATCGACCAACACGAGTGCCTTCATCACACACACGTTCGCCTGAAATGGAGGCGAACTCGACACCAAAGTGGGATTTGAGTCGGCCTCCTTCTGGCCCAAGGGCACACTTTTGTTCGGGCTCTTCTTCACAAACTCCCGCGGACACACTCTCCGTCCACAGCTTCAGACTGAGCTTGCCCCCAAAACTGATAACAACCTCGAGAGCTCACCTGCCCGCCAGCAGGTCGGCCAAAAAGGCGGCAACAAAGTTGCCCCTTTCCTCCGCCTCTGGCCCCCTTTCCACAGCCGCCTCGGACTCGTGCGCTTTCTCCTCCTCCGGCTTGCCGAGGCTGTGGCCAATTTGCTCGTTCTCCGCCTCCTCGAGCCACCCCTCCGCGGCGTAGACTGGCCGGGCGCCTGATTCGCCGTACTCCGAGGCCGAGCTCTCGCCCTCTTCATTTTTCTCTTCCTCATCGTCGCCGCCGTCGTCTTCGTTGTTGTTGTTGTTGTTTTCGGCTCTGCGTCCCAACTCCGCCGCCGCCGCCGTCTCGACATTGCCTTGTGGCGTGGCGCTGCCTCGGCTGCCAGGTCGCCGGCCAGGCAGGCAGAAGAGACCGGCCTCTTCAATGTCGACCGCGATCATCGTGTCGACGGCCGAGACGATCTCGCGGCACTGCAGGCTGGTCAGGCGCTGGATGTCCTCTTCAACCTCGGCGCGTGAGATCACCGGAGCCAGACGCGCCAAGTCGATGGGTTCAGCGACGACGTTGGCATCGACGTTGGCGTTGGCGTTGGCGTTGGCGTTGGTGCTTGTGGAGGGTTGTCGTCTGGAGGCGAAGAGCTCGGCACGCAACGCCTCCTCCCGGTCGGCGGGGAACATGTGGCCCAAGTCGAGACTGCCGCCGATTGGCTGCGGCGGAGGTGGCGGTGGTCGCAGGGGGGCGCCTGCGTTGTGGTGGGGGCCGGCGGCCGGGCTGGTCGCCTGGCGGACCAACATGGGCGCCAGCCTCGGGGCGGGCGGCTTGACGGGCCGCTGGACGCTGGCAGGACGGACGTCCGAGGCGCGCCGAGGTTGCTGTTGCTGTTGCTGCTGTTGGTGTTGGTGTTGGTGTCTCGGCGCCGCCTCGTCGAAAGGGTTCGGGTTGGGGCCCCGCGGCGGCCGTACCGGCCGGCAACAGGCTTCGCCCTCTTTCTCTTTCTCCGCCTGCGTCGTCAGGCGGCCCAGCCGGTGACTGATGGTGTCGACTGTCGCCGTCGTCGTCGTCGTCACCGGCGACGGGTCGGCCTGGACGACGTCGACGGCCGACCGCCGGGCTGGGCCGACAGCTTCGGCCGAGGCGGGTCCGTGGGGCGGTTGGGCGGCCGGTTGGTCGACGGAGGCGCGCCGCGTCAACCCGCCGAGGCGGGAGGAGAGGTCGAGGCGACTCGTGAGGTCGGCGACGAGGTTGCCGCCGCCCGCTTTGGCGTTGGAGACGACCGTGTCGAGCAGGCGGCCGGGCCGCACGAAGAAGCCGGCCTCGCCGGCCTCGTCGGCCTCGTCAGCGTCATCGGCCGCGCGAGTGTCGACTTCGCTGGAGAGGCGCTTGAGAAAATGACCGAAACTCATGCCTGCCTCAGCGCGCCGAGGCGCCGAGCTGTCGGGCGGTCGATAGGAGGCGGATCGATAACGGCCTCTTGGCCTGTGAGCCCGGCCTCAAGGCC